CCGGCCTCACTGCCAGTGTAGCACTCTGGGAGACGGCGCATTCGATGCTGACCTCTCGATACACCGCCTCGTGTGACAGCTAGCTGCTTACCAGTATGTAACTACTTATCATCAGAATCCTCATGGAGTGTAGATACACGGCATACATCAGCGCAGTGCAGCAGATCCGAGATGAGCTCGGTGACCTGCAAGAACGAAATGTTATGGTCACCGGCCTTTACTCGACGCTTGGGAAGTTTGGATCGACGGTAGGACTGAAGGTGCTCGTCGTTCATACTGGTACTTGCCACTGGTAGATTTCTATGGATGAGCGAATGCAGCTCGATCTCATGCAAAACAGGATGGAGGAATTATCTGATAAAAAAGTTGTCGAGGCCAGCGTATGCATTGAAAACATCCGAAAAGATATGACCAAGGACTGCCTCGAGAAGTGCGCTTCACTTGAAGCGGAATTGGTAATAATGTGCCGAGTTGGATCGGGCCAAGCTGTTGCAGGTCCATCTCGAGAGATCTTTGAACAGCGGTGTCTTCTTGTCTGCTGATGCTGTAGTGAATCGAACACATGGGGAAGTCTTAGCTGATCTCGAAAGTATACATCAGATGATAGTCAAGAATGAGGAACGTGTCAATGTGATGATACGAGCTTTCTGGCATGATTCTGCGATTATCCATTCGGGGGGTTTCAGGCGCTCCAACGTTCGCTGCAGCTGATGAAGGTGAATCCCTATGATTTCAATCAGTTGCAGAAGCTCAAGTCTCGTTACGAACAACGGAGAGGAATTTGGGACTCGGTGGCGACTTGGCGCTCACTGACAACCGAGTGGTGGGTGAATTCAAGCTCGTGGGTTTTATGATCGATTTATCCAGGCTGAATGCTCCACTTCGAGAAGTAGATGTTGAAGGGTTGAATCGGACTGTTAATACGATGTTCAAGGAAGCATTCAAGCTGAGTAAGCAGCTGGATGGAGATCAGGTTGTGGAGGAAATGAAAGAGTTAATCGGTGTGTGGAAGAGCAATCTTCCGGTAGGGCTCAAGTTTCATGCCACTTGACTGTGTATCATTCCTTCAGGTCATACAGGAGCTTGGTAACCCTGTGATGCAACGGAGGCATTGGGAGAGAGCGTGTCAGGCGGTCGGCCTGGCCCTCACTGGAACTGCCGCGACGCGTGTCACACTAAGTATGGTGATAGACTGATGAGCATCATTGCACATTCCTTTGTTGTGTAGTGATGCTAGAGAAACAAGACATATACTCCCATCGGGACGCAGTTGGGGAGATATCGGCCGCAGCCAGCGGGGAGCATGCTCTGGAGAAGACTATGGAAAAGGTTGCCGGCTCGTGGGAAGGGTATTAGCAACCTATAAACCGATCAGTCGGTCCATCTTGGTGATATCAGGTTGCAGCTGCCGGTGATGAACCATCGTAACACTAAGAATTTGTGGATCCTTGGTGACGTATCTGAACTGATAACATTCCTCGAGGACCACGCTGTGACGATACAGACGGCCCTAGGGAGCCGGTGATTTGATATGGATTGTTCATTGTGTGACTAGGCGGCTGTTGATAGATTCGTTGCTGGAGTCAAGAAAACTGTTGAGGAGTGGGCGAAGAAGATCTCGACCGCCTCAGATGTGCTTGATGAATGGTTACAGGTATATGCATCACTACGTTATCTGTCTCGATATTTTGTATCTCAAACTAACTTGGTCTTGGAGGATTGCGTAGCCTCGTTCCTGCTGGATTGATTAGTGATGACCCGGCTGTCGCCGAACTAATCCGTGACATCTTTAGTGACTTTCCCAGCATCCTCCACTGTGTGTAGTTGTATTGGTCATCGCATGCTCCCCTCAGGTCCAGAGGAGCTGGATGTACCTCGAAAACATCTTCTCGGCCGAGGACATCCAGCGGCAACTACCTAATGAAGCCGCCAAGTTCAAGTCTGTTGATAAATTCTGGAACGAGCTCTTCAAAAAGATTCGTCGGTCCTCCCCTGCGGCGATGGATGCATTCCACATTCCTAATTTACTCGTTCAGCTGCAAGAGGTATGTGTACTGCATAGGATATGATCATC